CCCCCCCCCCCCCCCCCCGAGATTTGACTGGCCTCAACCCACTGGCCTCCTGCAAAGGATTTAAACTCTGGGTTTCCTCCGGACGTTTGGGCTGGGATGTTAGACATGCCTATCTTGGGGACGGACGATGGCTGGAATGTATGTGTGCTTTCTAGTTTTGTTCATAATTGTTTATAATGTTTTGTTCACCACCCAAAGTCACTCTGGCAAACTGGGGGCCATCTCGGTTGATCTAAATAAATAAATACCGTAGGCTGGAACAGCCTTCCACAGGTTAGCAAATCCAGGCAAGCACCATTTGTCACAAAGAGGGCTGGAGCAGAACGGCACGTGAGAATCGCTGGGACCTTGCCAAGGACCCAGCTGACCGGCGAGCCTGGGACCTGCTCCCCGGTCTTGCTGACATCATCCCCAGCATCTGAGCCGGGCCATTTTGGCGCTCCTGGAGAGAAGCTTCCTGGGCCGGGACCCAGAGCAGAAGGCCCTCCTGACTGAACCCGGCAGGAGGACAGCAGAGGACAATTGCGGGCAAGGGTTCCCCAGCAGCCGCCAGCTGGCCTCCCAGCCACCCTCCGGCCCATGCTGCGAGTGTGCACGCAGGCGCTCACTGGAGCTCCCCAGAACTTCACAATCACACAGCCACATGGTGACACCAAGCATATATTTTATTGAAAGTCCAACTCATGACCAGGCAGTGAGTAGGGAGGGTCCCCATTCAGGTTTGTACAAGTCACTGCTCCTCGTGGGTGAAGTTACAGATAAATATCGTTACATGGACGGACAGCGGTGAGCACTAATCACTCAGCTCGTACTGAGTCGAGGCAGGCGGGCTGGCAAGCAAATGTGTTCACCAGGCACAGCGGGGGTGGGGGCAGAGAAGAGAGCCGGGGAGGGGTCCCCCAAGGGGCCTGCAGCCAGACTGACCCTCCACCTGTGCCCAGACCTGGGCTCAGGAGAAGAAAACTAGCACAGGCATCCTTCTCGGGCCTCCGCAAAGGCTGACCCAGGGCCTGGGTCGAGCGTGCAAATGGGGAACGTCGACCCTCTCCTCTCCTCCCCTCCCAGCAGGGGTGGCTTTCTAGCCATGGCAGGAGCAGAGGGGACGGAGGAGTCCCCAGGACAGGTGGAACCCCATTTCCCCACTCCCCCCCAGGAGCTGCCTGCAGAAATGCCCTTTGGGCTCCCAGCTGCCGTGCAGCATGCGGGTTGCTATCTTGGACTCCCCCCAACTCAGCTGTGCCTCTGGAAGGGTGAGAATTAGCAGGAAAATATGCAAGGGGGGGCCAGTCCTGTGGTAAGTCATGGGGAGGGGGGGTGCACACATATGGCCCTCTTCCTGAAAAACCAGTTTATGGAGGGTGGGGCCGGAACAGTAAGACCAGGCAGGCCATGGAGGCAGGGAGCAGAATGGGGGAGGCGGCACCGTGTCCCTGCCCTCCCCTACCAGAAGGAATAAAGTGAGGGGGGAGCCAGCAGGTATCGCCCACTTTCCAGGGACAAACCTTCTCCAAGGAAGGGGCCATGGGTGCTTCCCCGTGCCCCCAGCCTCCCTTCCAGCCCAAAAAGGAACCTCATACAAAGGCCACAGTTTTGGGGAAGCCGCCCCCCCCCCCGCACACACAGGAAAGCTGTCCCTTCTCAGGGTCCTGCAACTCCCAGGCCGCCTCCTGCACCCCTGCTCCGCACTCAGGTTTCCTCCCAGCGAAGCCCTCCCCCACCCTTGAGAGGGTTGCCTCCAGCTGCTCCTCTGGCCACCTCGGGATGTTGCGGGGGGGGGGGATGTATTTGGGGAAGGGAGGAGAGAGGGAGGAGAGAGGGCAGTCGCCCACCAGACCGGCCCCAAAGCCCTGGACGCCGGACCCCGCCAAGCAGGGATGCTGTGGGCTCGGCTGCCTGGCAGAGCTCAGGCGCCTGGGTCCGACTCTCTGGAGGGCGTGGAAACCGGGGCCCCCTCCGGCTCACGTCCTACTCCAGGTAAATGTCTTCTGTGGGGCAAGCGAATTCAAGGTGCTCTTGGTAATATTCCTGAAAGGCGCGGCTACAAAGGGAAGGAAGAGCTGAG